AAATCTTTTTCTTGGGATAGGACAAAATTAAAGGGCTTGACTTACATGAAACACTTTTTTGCCTTTTAAAAATGCCAACATGACAATCAACATGTTTCTAATATTCGCAAGTCTAACAATCTCTGAAATAATAAGAGGCATTTGTAACTACTTGTAAGTGCAGCTCCAATTAGAGTTTTGCGCTGCAATAACCATATCTAACCCAAATCTATTTATTTTGCCTTGAAAAGTAAAACAAACAAACAAACTGTAAACCAAATAACCAGATAAAACTTAAAAGCTAACCCAACATTAAAAATGACACTTTCCAAGCACCGCAAAACCTTTGGAGGTTAAAGGAAAAAAGTAAAAATAACCAGTTACTAGACTAGATCCCGAGAGCACCCATATCACAAACTCTCAGCACATGCTCCTACGTTTGACTACTGCCTTGCACTGTACAAAACCAGGTCTTTATGTTCATTAACAACTGGTTTAAAACTTTTAAACTTTTGGCTCCTTATTTTTCCCTTTGTACATCTGGCTGTGGTACACTTCTAAATCATTTTTACATTAAGAGTTTAATTTCTCAACATCATGGCCATCAGTACCCTCTGTAGGAGCCAGGAATACAAACCCCCTATATTCTAAGGCATTATTTTAACATTTGGATAAGTAGTGAGAGACAAGAAGCAGATGAGATCCCACACTGTCATTCTGAGAAGTACCTGGAGGAACAACTCTTTTGTGCCTAAAGCCCAGGAGGAAAAAAGGTAGCACTAACATAACGATCTTCAGGAATATTCTGACAGACAATTTCTTAGTTGGGACACACTCAAGATAAATTGTAATTAATTTCAGAAGTTAGTAAGCTCTGAGAGCCAGCCCCAGTCTACTAAAATCCACATTAATTCACCTTACACCAGTTCTATGCAATACAATGGTTAGCTATGGAATATTACTGCAGACCTACAAAAGAAAGTTTGCACAATAAACCCAACAAAATATTATACCTTTCACAACATATAAGCTTTGATAATGGCACAGTATTTGCTGTATAGAGCTTCCTAGAAAGATGACTGAAATAACAAACACTGTCTTCGGATAAACTGGAAATTTGCATGTCAATACAACAGAATCAGCCACCAATTTACTCCTTCAACACCATTTCTTTGCTAGGACTCGTCTTCTACATTTTTCATGACTGGAATGATGAACTAGTGATAGTTCCTCTGAGTAAAATCAAAGTTCAGATTACTAAATGGTAAAATAAGAGCATGCTAGATTTAGAGAACAGGGTACCCTAGGTAAGATGGTTGGGAGGCTGGTAAATTCACATGACAAAAGAGGCTGCGTATCTTACTGTTGTATCTCAATGTCTCCACTTAAACTATTTTTCAAGAGCATGAAAACAGGTTAAAATATAAAATTACTACAGACACAAAACACAGTACCTCGTTTCTAGTTAAATTCCTTCACAATGAAGATGAAAGCACACTAGTGAAGTAATTGGTTAAGTGATGGACAATCACTGTAAATGCTTAGACTAGCAAAAGCCATCTAAAAAAAAGATAAAGACAAACGTTTTGGCTCAGAACTCCACTGCTCTGCATTTGCTTGTTAGATAGACTGATGATTACTGCAGCCAAAATCTAGACAGCTCTTCCTAAAACTAGTTTTCCTGGTTTTTGACATAGAAAATCAAGAAACAGAAAATGAAGGACCTGTAGGCATGTTGATTAAGTCCTTCTTTTAAAATGCTGCAGCATGTGGAAAACACTTGATATGTATAATTATGACAAGCCTCAAGTAGAACTTGCAGTGGACAGGCAATGGCAAAAATATTTAGTGATACAAGATATATAGGGTAGCTGTTCTAAAAGCACATCTACCTTTTGGGGATACAAATGGATAAGAGAGGAGGGACACTACACACAGAGTTCCTCTACCAGAAGTCTGTCCAGCAGAAGAAAAAGCAATGATAAATGTCATATGCATTCACACACTAAGCTTTTACTGTACCATTATATTAAAGGTGTTTTACCATTCCTAGGATTTTGCTTCTTTAAATACTTTAATAATGCAGTAAAAAAGAGCTCCTACATGTGAATTCAAGATATATCATAAACTTCCCAGTAAAGCACAAAAATTGAGCCTTTCTTGGCCAGAGACATTCCACTGTGATCTTTTAATTCATTGTTCAATGTAAGCTTGAAAAAGCTGTAAAAATCTGTCACTTATTTGAGTGGATGTGATTTATGTGGAAAATCTTCACTGGTAGGAGAGTTTGACTGGGATTGTGATTTTTCAATACCTGCTCTCAAAAAATAAAACTCTTCAGCCCCTAAGACTACAGCCTGCAAGTGGCAGTAATTAGGCTGCACATGGTTAGGGAAGGTAAGTAGAGAATGATCATTCATCATCTCTTCTAGTAGAAAAAACCTAGCAGGCACTGCGTGATCCTGTTTGGGGCCAGTTTGGAGAATGCAATCCTTCAAGCTCTCCAGTTAACCGCAGGAACTTTGCCACTGTGTAGTACAACTTGTCTGGTTTGATGACAAATATAGGAAAGAAAACCCCCTGTATCTAAACATAGCTAAAGACCAGTTCTGGCTCAGCATGCACCTGAGTCAAAGAGCACTGGAGCCCACGGAGAACTCTGAAGACATATGGCTGAATGTGTGCCTTACTCTTAACACTATTCTCCCCACTGGCCGCTGTCAGATAAAGAGATACTGAAGTAAGGTGAATCTTTTCCCTGCCTATTAATGCTGTTCTAATGTCAAGTGCCTGTTCCTGGATAAGACTAAGATTTCAATTAGTGCCACAACTGTGTAGCAGCACTCATAGTTTAGGTATTTGTTCAGCAGAAACAAGCTGAGCTGACTGAATGAGAAGTTTGCGCTTTCTTTGCAATAGGGCAACAGCATTTCTGGGAGAGAGAGAAGGAGGAGGGAGACCTTTAGGCAAATACTCAACTAATGAGAACTGCCAGTAAATTGCCAAAATAACAACATAGATGTTTTAACTATCAAACACGCAGTATTACAACCCCAAAAAGCACATAAGGATGAAAATGCTTACTTAAGCTTTATCTTACAAAAGTTAACTGAAGTTACTCTGACCAAGTGAGAAATAAACATATAAATTATCAAAATGGTTTCTGATACACCTAAATACCACATAAAACCTGTCTATGCGTGTACAACAATGCATACAGAAGTACCTTATTTGCCAAAACACTTAAGTACGTTTCAGAAATTGAATACACCCATACTCTGAGGAACTCATTTTAAACCTGGATGCTCATGTAAAAAATACCTCCCTGACCATGCCAATTAAAGTAACAAAAATATTCTTTCCTTGACAAAAGCACCCCCCCCCAAAAAGGAATAAAAATTGAAGTTACCACAAGTAAGCAGAAAATGAAGAGTTAAAAGTCCAGAGAGTAATTGAAAGGTTGTTTTTCTTCTGTGGAGCCAGACCTCAATCTTTAATGTAATAAATATTCAAAAATCTAAGTTTGATGGCAGGACATCCCTGCAACAGGTAAACTAACACCTTCAGAATTATCTCTATATTAAATTAATTTAGTAATATACGTACTGGTTTTGATTCGTTTAGGCTCCTGAGCATATGGATATAGATTAAAAATATATATGTATTCGACATACAGAGATTTTTAAGGACTATTAGGAAGTCACATAATGAGCTGATACCATTAACTCACCAAAATAAAAACAACTGACACAGTAGCCAGTACTTCCCCCTTTTATAAAGTCAGTTAACTACTCAAAGCTACACTCCTTTTTTAATTAAGATGCAATGCATTTACACAAACAACCTGTTCCTCCCTCCTTCCAAATTGGTCAAAGACGTACAACAGCAGCATCTGTGACCCTGTAGCCCAATTCAGAAACACTCCTGGGTTATCCCTGAGTTTAACTACTCTCCTGGTACAGAGACTTTAAAAGAACCCCCAAATTTAACTCATTCCTAAGCTTGAACTCCATTCTGGAATGAATTCAAATAAATCTAAAGTGCTTAAGTTTAGATAAAAGAATATTTGAAGCTTGAAACCCACACGGTTAAGAACTAATTAAACACCAACAGCAGAACTGGCCTGAAAAATTTGATCCCAAATTTGCCACTAGAGGTTAAAAAAAAATAAAATAAAATAATCACAATGATGTTTAAGGAGTTTTAACACCAACATGAGTTTTAAAGGTTGCCATATCTTAAGATAAATGCAGTATTTAACACCAAGACTTTTGACCCAACCTCCACCTTTTAATCTTTGTGTTTAACTAAAACTAGGTTTACACCCTTGCAATGAGGCCCTGTGCACTTTTCCCCAAACTATAACAATGCAATCTCCATTTTGAACAATGCACCTCATTTCCCTCCTTGGAAAGCTAGTTTTGTCTTAAAGCCAGTAAATGCTGGATCCAGTTATACCTCTGACCTCAAGAGCCTGAAAATTTTCAGTGTTTATGGTTTTTGGCTTTTTTTTTTTTTTTTTTTTTAGACCACTTCAAGTTGCATGTGCTTCCTCTCCTTTTGACATCAAGTTATATCTGCAAGCACAAGCCATCCTTTCCTGCATGTATCTGAAAGGACCTCTTTGCAAGGCATGCATGTCCTTCCCCTTGTTTTTAAATGTTAAGTGAATGCTCCATACACTTTTGACACTGTTTGCAACACGTTCTGGTGTATCACGCATTTCTGCAGTCACCAGAACCTCCATGCATATTTGCAAAGCACCCCCTTGTTACAGCATTCCCTTGTTACAGCATGCCCTCCCTCCTCCCAGTGCATGTGTTTGTAAGCATCTCCTAGTGTTCCCTGCATCCGTGGGGTTGCCAGTCGTTAATTTGCATACCCCTCTCCCTGTGAGTGCTTGCAGGCATCCCTTACATACACGCATGGGAGGAAGAATGCGTGCGGACTGTATTTGCAAACCTAGAGGGAGCATGTGGGGTGCCCTCGACTTGTTTTAGTTCATCCCACTGACTCTCTACCTGGGGTGCTGCTGTAGGTGCTGTGGCTCCTGAAGCTGCTCTCAGTGCAATAACTGGCATCGTCTTCATCCTCCATCTCTTCGGGGTAGTCAGAGTCGTCGTCGTCCTCTTCCTCCATTATCTCCTCCTCCTCTTCCTCCTCGGAGTCCTGGTTATCCTCGGGGTCTGCCTCCTCTTCCTCCTCGGACACCATGCTCTCCTCCTCCTCTTCGCTCTCATGATCATCGTACACCACTTT